GAAAAATTTCCATTGTGGCATCGTCAATAAAAAAAGGGTTATATCTCAACCTAGAAAGGGGTGAAAATTCTGCTAGATAACCCAAAGGACTCTACTGATAGATAGCAAGACTCTGCTCTTGAGATGCTTATGGTATCAGAATAAAAATATTTCATGAAACAGGGGAAACATAAATATGTTCAATATTTTTTAAAATCCACCACATGATACTTATGTACATAGATATAGAAGAGATGGACTAGTTCTTAAAGATACGGAGAACCCATATACATGCAGATTAAACAGTATCTCCCCTTCAGATGACAGAGCTGAGAATCTCCCTCACATTGATCCACAAAAATAGAATGTGCTACTTTACTTATTTTAACTTATTTTTACTTACTTATTTTAAACGTCTGTCAGGATTTAAAGTGAGTATCTCGTATGGTCAGCAATTCTAGGAACAGAAATATACCCAACAGATATTCATTGCAACTTTGGGGGTTTTTTGTTGTTGTTTTTACTTTACATTATTTTGTTTCAATTCCAGTGTAGTTAACATACATTGCAACTTTGCAGTGCTAAAAGATTGCAAACAATCAATGCCCATCAATAAGGAACTGTTTGAAAAAAAAAAAAAATAAGGAACTGTTTGAATAAATTATATCCCTAATGGACAATGGGGTAATACATATAGCTGCCTTCTCATATATGCACAGAATACCCCTAGGAGAAGCCATTATTAGTAATCACCTCTGATGGGGTGGAGAAGGGTGACTAAGGGCCAGGAGTGGGGGTTTTATTTTTCTCCTTATACTATTTGAATATTTAATCCTTTGCATAGATTACCTACTCACAAAATAACCTTTGCAGGAAAACACAGCATGTTCTTGAAAGCAAAAATGCTACTATCTATCTGTGGGAGCATGAAAGCAGTGAATATCATCACCTAAGGGTCTCTACTTAGTAGACGCCAGTGAAGAGTTATTTGTTTCATTACCATTAGCCTCTAAAAATACCCCTGCCCTTCTTTCCCAGGAGAAGTCTCACACAACAGGAACTCTTTTTCAACATGACCTTTAATATCCAGAGCAATAGATTTAAGCAAGAAATAAAACTGAGTGGGGAGGAAGCAGCAGAAGAACTGTGCTGGATGATGGGGGAGGAACGAAGAAGAGGGGGGCTGGCCTCCAGAGTCTGTTTCAGGTGCAAAATGCTCTGAAAAGACCTCTCTAAACTCCAGCATCTCCTGAATCTTTATTAGAAGAGCATTTGAGGCAATACAATGGAACTCAGTCATTTCATCAAAGATTAAGTGCTTTTATTTCACTTGCTACTTCCTTGACCCAAGGTACAGATAACTCTTTGGCCAACGTTCTGATACTTCTGCTGCCAAGGCGGTGTAGCTTTTGCCCTGAATCTCCTGGGTATCCCAGTCTCTTTAATCAGAAATACAGCAATAATGTCCATGCTCTTGCTCTAAGACACTCTGGTCCACTTCGGTTGGCTAGTATGGCAGTGAAAAGAATCCCAATGCCAACTCTATCTTCCCAGCACAGGGTGGCTCAGACATCCTACCTCTCTCTTTCTCTGACTAAGCCACTGCCCAGGTAGCCATTCTCAACTTGTGTCAGAGAAATGACTACCTGCTGAAAGACACTTCCCAGATGCTGAAAACTTCACTACTAGAAGATGAAAGGAACAGTGTTCAAAGAGTTTGAACATTCCAGGGAATATGACTCAGGCCTCAAGCAGGGTAGAGTCCTAGAACAGGTAAAGCTCATAAAATCAGTGACCTCACAAAAGCGCAGGAAGAGAGACACAATTTGCCCACACATCCTTGGAAGGCAGGACTGGCCATGATTTGGATCAAAGGTGACCAGGTCATGTTGCTAAGTTACCCACCTTCTCTGGAGAGAAGATGTTTATAGGCTCTCCTCTTTTTTCCTTCAGGAAGAGTGGGGTCTAGAATTCAAATAATGCCAGTGTAGGAGCACTGAGTGAGGTAGAGCTGGCAAACAGATGAACTTGCCTTTGAGAAGGCATGATGGAGGGTGCCTACCTTGCCACTTCCCTCTCCTGACTTTTGCCAGCTAAAATATCAGGTATAAGAGATGCAAAGTTAATTGAAATATTGCTCAGTGATGCATTTATATTAAGTAAAAGAATCACGAGTGGAACCATGCCTTGATCATATCAAGCAGGCATTCTTGCGTCCATGGAGTGGGAGGAGGAAAGACAAGGAAAGGCAACCAGATTAGACATGGTTCACACTGATATGCATCAAAGATCTCCAAATAATATACTGAGTAAAAGAAGCCAAATCAAAACAGAGTACATACTTTAGGGTTACATTTCTATAAAACTCTAGAAAATGCAAACTTGTAATATATGGTGAAAGCAACAGATCAGTGTGCTTAGGAGTTGGGGAGCAGAGAAGGGCTGGAGAGAGAGATGCATAGGGGCAAAAGCAAATTTCTAGGGCTGACAGATATTTTCACTCTCTTAATTATGATGGTATTGTCACAAATGGATATATACACCAAAACGTATCAAACTGTATAAGCTAAACATGAACAGCTTATTGCATGACTGCAATAAAGGTATAATATATATACCTTATATATAATATATATAATATAAAGGTAATTTCAGACTACTGTTCAAGCTAAAAAATAGCAAAGGTTGAAATCATCCTCAAAAGTCATCTTGGTCTTCCTATTTCTCGGATACGATATAATCAAACAGCTTTGACTGACCGTGAACCAGCCCAAGGTAAAGTTCATAGGGAAAAAAACAAAAGCTGGAGCCCAGAAGGCCCCTCCCCCAACCAAATACCTGCCTTCTGAGGTACAGGAAAAGGCTGATCCTGGCAGCTCAACTCCACAAACCTGCCTGCTGAGTAGCAAATTCCCATGTGACCTATATTCCCCAGGCCATATCCACATTTCCAGCAACAGCTGGGAGGGGTCCCCACTTCCCTTTCAGTTAATGATACAGTCAAAACTAGAGCAAGGCAAGAAGAGGAAGCGACAAAGAGTGAGTTCTTCTCTGCCCTCCAGAGATAATCCTTGGTTTCCAGCCCAGGGCAAACAGGAGGAATTAGGCAAAAAGCCCAATACCATGAAGGTGATAAAATTTAAAAGATGCCCAAAAGACACATATTCTGAAGGACCCTAAGAGATGGCCTTGAATTGGGGTCAGAGCTTCTCTGGCCTCTATCTTACCTGCTGAGAAATGAGAGATATCAGGAATAACGACTTTACTAAGTATCTCAAACTATTTCCTCAGGCTTTAGTTATAGCTGTTCCCAGGCACCTCCATAAACCCGGAGTGACTCCTGTTACGGTCACTCTAACCCAGGCAGGGACATGGTTAACTCAGTTATGAGAAGCTCAGGCTTCTTCACAGACAGTCAGTTCCCTGACATCTCATCTTCCTTCCTGCCAGACACCAGCAAACACCCAGCCTCCTTCTTATACCTTTTCCTGTGGACTACTAGGGTGCACTACCTGGTCCAACTCAAGCCCCTCAGAGCTACCCCTCAATGCCCCTGCATGGACTGCCATATCCTTGACCTCCAACAATGGACAAACCACATGCTAGTTGCACAATTCTGGCCTTTCTCTCTGGGGTGTGGGCTTCTTGATACCCTGCTGTATTAAGTAATCCTCCTGGGCTTTGCATCAGCCTTGCATCAGGAGGAATGCTGAGCATCGTACAAGAGCCAGGAGCAGGCTTCAAAGAGGAATGGATTAAAGATCACTGACAAGATGGAAAAAAGTCTTGGGAGCAACTCAGGAAACAAAATGCCTCTTTAAGTTTTCTGGACTCCAGAGTGAGAAGAGCACCATTTCTTTCTCTCAAACAATATTATGACATCCTCATCAATTCCAAAGCCAAGAAGAGGTAAAACAAAGACACATAAGTCTGAAAAAGCTGGAAGTAGAGTCACTGAATGTGTTCTGTGCCAGCAAAAACATTCAGATATTCATCTCCATCAAAAACTTCCCTATTTTCCAGAGGAAATTCAGAGAAACTAACAAAGGGGGTTAGAAGAAACAAAAGATATAGCTGAAGGGGTGGTGTGTCTGCCCCATCACCTGCTTCAAAGTTAACTTGCAGTGCCAAAGCATTTGATACTGCTGGTCTGCCTTCCCAGAAACACTGGAGGTTTTGAATATGAAAAGTGCCAACCATCGACCTGAAAAACATGGTCAGGACAGTAGAATCCTATAAATAGATACAGTTTATGAAAGTTCTGGGCCAAGGCACCCCCTGGCTGTGGGTAAGTCCTTTTGCCATTAACACAACCACTTGCCACAGATAACACTTTGTAAAAGGGGGTTGGGAAGGAGTGAGCTGATGACTGACGAACGTGGGAAAGTGGAGAGAGAAGACATATCAGTCTTAAAGTGGGGCTAATAAATCCAGGGTTGAGGACCTTGAAGGACCCGTAGGACAGCAATCTCATGACTGCGCTGGGAAGGCGAGATCAACCACATCTGTGAGCCTTGGAGCTCTGGCTTCTGATGAATAGAGAAGATTCCCAGCAGGCTTGGCAGGAAATGTGGGGACCCGGGAGAACAGCAGAAGTGGGCTCCCCAAGGAGGACTAGAGAAAGAGCAGTGATCGGGGGACATCTGACAGAGTCCTGAAGGCTACCTCTGCTGCTCTTCCCAGAGAGCTGGGGGTATCCACGAGAAAAGCAGAGCCCGGGCATCACAAGCTTCGAGAAAGTGGGGAAGTTCTAGGGCACAGAAGCCTGGGGACTGAGAGCACAACGCCTGGTGTCACCCGGGAAGCCTGGATCTCGAGGTAGGAGCAGAGTTCCTTGTGAGGGAGAGGGACGCCAGACCCAGCAAAAAAGAGGCCGAATACGCCTTTCCAGTGGGGTCTCGCGATTCGCGGGACGCGGACTCCTGGGGCTGCTTCCCTCAGGTGAGAGGGGAAGCGAAAACCGTGGGTGTGGAAGGCTGAGATGTCCGGAGTCCGGCAGGTGTCGGGCGGGGCTCTCTCACCTGCGGAGCACCAGGAAACCCACGATCACCAGCAGCAGGAGTCCGAGTGCGCGGCCCGGCTTTCGCCCAATGCTCCACTTGCCCATCGCGCGTTCCCGCGGCGCGCAGGGACCGCAGCTAGCACTGTAGCCAGAGCTCAGCCGCGCGCGGGAGGCTCGGGGCGGGTGGGGGGGGGGGGGGGGCCGCACTCTGGTCGCCCGGGCGACCGGACCGCGTCCCCCCGCCCCCGACCCCCAGGCGCTCATTGGCTGAGCCCTTCGGCCCCGCCCCCCCGCTTCAAGTTAAGCGTAGGCGGGGTCGGGGCCTGACGGAGGCGGGGCGCACTGCCTCCCCGAGCAGTTTCCAACTCCGGGAAGCTTCCCGGGAGGCTCTCCGGCTCTCCTCCGCCACCTCCCTCTAGTCTCAGGGAGGCCCTGGTTGTTTGTTTTCCTTCACGTGGTATGCAAACAGGTGCAAAGATACTGGGCGCCTGTTGCCCAGTCCTTGCGGATAGTAGAGCACACCCACCAGCTCTCTACATTAGCAAGCATGTATTGAAGGCGGTGCCTGCAAAGCCGACACAATGTTTTAGAACAATTCAGATTTTGAAGTGGTGACCTACCATATGAAAAGTCAGAACATTGTGAAATTTCCTTTAGACATGTTTTAGGACAGTGTGGTTCACGTTTGAACAGCGTGGGGGGTGGTGAGGTGAAGAGGAAGGAGCACCAAAATATTTTTTGCCTTTAGTTTCCACAAGTCTTGTTCTGGTCCTGACTCCCAGTAATTTCGGTTTTTCATCTTAAAAAAGTCCAGATAAAACCCTCACATTTTATGAAAGGACAAATACAATTCTTATGGGTACAGAATTATGTCACAAAGGATATTGTGTAATATTTGGGCAAATTTATGCTTTCTAACAATCACACACCCAATTCATCCCAAAAACAAAATTCAGATTTTACTGAAAGAAAATCTGAAACATTTTCTAGGAAGGCTAATGTTATTTCAGAGCATCCGAGGTTCTAGAAAATATCCCCTGTGGCGTGTTTCAAAGATTTGTTTTAAATTCATTTGTCAGAGAGAGAGCACGCACAAGCAGGGGGAGCAGCAGGCAGAGGGAGAAGCAGACTCCCTGCAGAGCAAGGAGCCCAATGCGGGACTGGATCCCAGGACCCTGGGATTACAACCCCAGCTGAAGGCAGCCAGGCAGCCCTCTAACGGACTGACCATCCAACTGTCCCTGTTCCATGTTTCAAAACCATTTCCTACACATGTACATAGTTTTGAACTTGTAAAGCTGATAGGGACAAAATGATATTTTACTTCTCAGAACAAGTTCAAGTTGCAGAGTTTGGTGTGAAGGATCCTTTTACAAGCATTAGGCAAATATTTACTAGGGAGAAAGTTAAACAAGGAGAGGAAAAAAACAACCAAACAAGGGTGGGGGTGGGGGGAGAGATAGCAGGGCCAGAAACATTCTTGGAGACATTTAGAGAAGTATCTCTCCTTTCACACTTTATAAAATCAGTACTTTTCTCCATTTTTTTAAAGACACATAATTGCTTGATAGTTATTAGGACTATGGTGAAAATATTCTGCTATAACTGAGATAAAAGCTCGCCCATGAGATATGGAGAAAGTGTCAAAGGTTAGCCCCTTTTTTACCTTTGGAGACCTGGCATATAACCCAACACTCACCCTTCCCTCCTTGTGATATTGTTGGGCAGTAGTACAATCGATCACACATCAGGGTATCCTGAAGTTAATAATCAATACCATGGGGCTAATAATACACTATATGTTAATTAAAAAAATAAAACATTTATTAAAAAAATAATACCAGCATCTCCATATTTTCTTCAGATATTAGTAAAACCTGATAATATGAGCTATAAAACCTCTGAAATTCTTAGCCCATCCCTGTACCCCTCATTTTTATTTATTAAAGAAAATAAAAATAACTAAGCTCTTTAAAAAAAAAAGTCATTAGGGGCGCCTGGGTGGCTCAGTGGATTAAAGCCTCTGCCTTTGGCTCAGGTCATGATCTTAGGGTCCTGGGATCGAGCCCCGCATAGGGCTCTCCGCTCAGTGGGGAGCCTGCTTCCCTTCCTCTCTCTCTCTACCTGTCTGTCTGCCTACTTGTGATCTCCGTCAAATAAATAAAATCTTTAAAAAAAAAAAAAGTCATTAGCCCTTAACTTTCTGGGAAGCTCAGAACCATAGATACAGCTACCCACAATTTAGGAACAATTTCACTTTATCTGGCTTTAATGATACCACAGAGAGTGTTGCAAAGATAGCACTAGTCTGAGAGATGTTTTGCTGAGGAGTTGAGACTTTTGGTTTTTAAAATATTAGCAAGATACTCCTTCAAAATACTCCTTTCCAAAATATGTAATGAATTTAACCCAAAGTAGACAATGACATACTCAAATCCTGGGAGCAGAAGCTACAGTTAAATGAGCAGGCCTGGTAGAGATGTAAAAACTGTGCTCTGGCAAAGTGTGTGGGATGAAAACAAATCCCTGATGTTCAGGAATCAATCTTCACAGGCTACCTTTCTGGCGTCATTGGTTTAGAAAACATACAAAACTTTTTTTTTTTTTTTTAAATGAAGTCCTGTTGTCATCCTCAGCCCACAACTTTAAGTTAGAGCTCCAACAGACCCAGAGAGCTCAGCTCCTTCTTTGAGAAGTCACCTATCCCACATAGTATACAAAGAACTCCAGAGGGGAATAAAAGCTATAGTCATTCAGAATCAGTACAGTGGAGGCTCTCAAGAAAAATAATCATATCAAACTAACCTTATTGTCTTTTTTAATAGGTAACAAACAGGTTTATAGATCAATTGTGTCTTATTTTTTAGTGCACTGTACTAATGCCTTAAGAGTTATGTATCTGAGTTATGTATCTGAATTTTAGAAAAACATTTGATGAAATCTTTCTTAAAGTCATGAGAACAAGAAGCAAGATGTGGCTTCTGTGATAGAGCAGGTCCTTGGGACCCTGGACCATGGTACAATCAGCTCTTCTTCACCCTCCTCCTTAAAGACAGACATTTGCACCAGCCCTCCCCACCCACTCTCTCCAGCTCTTTTGCTCCAGGTTACATGACAAAACTAGTTATGATGTCAAGTTGCCAAAGATTCTTGAGCAAAGAAATTAAGAACATGGAGGAATTTCTGGGAATAAATGAGGACAATTTCAACCATAGATAGAAAGTCCCAAGAAGGTGATTTAGGCCTTGGAAAAAGAAAAAGAAAGCAAATCCAAGTTAAGATAAATAAGTCCTCTCACCCCAGGAGACATGTCAGTGGGACTGGAAGGGACATGTATGCATTGGGGAGGGATGCACTGAACTTCATCATTGGCCTTTGCAGTCCAAAAATATTACTCTTCAGCCTCAGCCTTTGAAAGGCAGAAAGGCCAAAGGCCTAATTCAGTATTTCATTCATTAAGAAGTAAGCAGCAAATGTTTAATGACTACTATGAGCTGAACACTGTTTAGGTGCTTGCAGTACCTCAGTGGAAAAAAAGAGATGAGGATAAAATATAAATTTCCCTTTAAAATTTACATTTTAGCTGAGGAAGAAAGACAACAAAAATTAACAAATTAATAAGTAAATTATAGAGTATGTCCAGAGATAATAAATTGCATGGCAAAAAGAAAGTAGATAAAGGAAGGAGATTGTTTGAGTGTGTATGGCGGCTGGGGAAGGGTATGCACAGAGGAGGCCTTACTGAAACGATGTTAACTGAGCAAAGATCTGAAAGACGTGAGAGTTAACGATGCATGCAAATAACTGGAGGAAGGGCTATGCAAGCAGAGAGAACCCACAGTGCAAAGGCTCTCAGGCAGGAGCATAACAGAGTGTTCTGGGAACTGCAAGGTCCGTGTGGGAAGTGAAAGGGAAGGGGAAAACTACAGGCCCTGAGGACAGAAAAGTACAGAGGCCTAACGATGGAAGGCTTTTCAGAGGACTCTGAAGTGAAATAGGAGCCATTGTAGGCTTTGGACATCAGTTATGCTTTGAAAGACTCCTCTGGCTCACCAGGAGTGGGCAAGAGCAGAAGAAAGAAGACCAGCTTTGAGGCAGCAATCCCAGTGGAAGATGATGCTGGCTCACACAAGGGTGGTAGGAATAGAGGAGGTGGGAAGTGTTGGATTTCTGGAAATAGTTTGAAAGCAGAAACTGGAGGACTGTTGTGATTCCAGGATCATTTGTGAGGTGAGAGAAATAAGGTGGATTCAAGAATGACTCCAACATATCAGAAGCACAAATTGGGCTAGTTGAGTTTGAGATACCTGTGAATGTGCTAGGAGAGATATCACATAAGCTATTGAATGCACAAGCCTGAAGTTCCGAAGAGGGGTCTGTCATGGAGATATAAATTTAGACACTGACATAGAGTTGGTATTTAAAGACAAGAGTTTGGGTGAGCTCACCAATGAAGTAAGTGCAGACAGAGAAAGAGGACAAGGATGAGCCCTGGGGCACCTGACACTCAGGAGAAACCAGTGAAGTTGAACTAAAAGGAGCAGCCAGTAAGGCAGGAAGAACACTCAGAAAAGATGGCATCCTGAATGCCGAGAGAGAAGTTACCAAGGAGGAAGCAGTAATGGCCTACATTACATGGTGCTGACAGGTCAAGTTAAGACTGATAATGAATCAATGGATTCAGTACATGGAGGATTTTGGTGACTAGGATGCCGGCAGCTTAGGTGGAGGTGGGGGTTAGGGGCAGGGAAGCTGATTGGAGTAGGTTTATTTTTTTTTAAGATTTTATTTATTTATTTGGCAGAGAGACAGCACAAGTAAGCAGAGCAGCAGGCAGCGGGAGAGAGAGAAGGAGGCTCTCTGCTGAGCAGGGAACCCGATGCGGGACTCAATCCCAGAATCATGACCTGAGCCGAAGGTAGCCGCTTAACCAACTGAGCCACCCAGGCGTCCCTGGAGTAGGTTTAGAAAGGATGAAGAATCTAAGAGCGAAAGGGGAATCAGTAATTGGAAGAGTAGCTGGTGGTTCTCAACTTGGAATCAGGGGTAGTATTCTATCTTCATTTCTATTTTGGATAGAAACTACCACATACTTGTATGCTGAC